GATCCCCCGTGATAAATGAGGGACTATTGTACAATGACTATGGAATGACAGACTGGGATGGTGGTTCCCCTCTTCAAAAAGGGGGACCAGAGGTTTTTTTTCTCTCTCCTTAGCCTCCCTGTAAGGTCTATTCAGGGGTACTGGAGAAGTGAGTCCGATCGTTGTCGAACCTCAGATCCAGGAGGAACAATGTGGGTTCCGTCCTGGCCGTGGAACACTGGACCAGCTCTTTAACCTCACTTGGGTCCGTGAGGGGTCATGGGAGTTTGCCCATCCAGTCTACATGTTTTGTGGACTTGGAGAAGGCATTAGACCGTGTTCCTCGGGGTACACTGTGGGGGGTGCTCTGTGAGTATAGGACTGGGGGCCCGTTGTTACGGGCTGTTCAGTCCCTATACAGTAAGTAAAGGTAGTAAGTCGGACCCCTTCAGGGTGGGAGTTGGAATTCTCTTCATAACTTTTATGGACAGAACTTCTTGGTGCAGTCAGGAGGAGGAGGGAGTCCAGTTCGGTGACCTCAGGATTCATCTCTGCTCTTTGCAGATGATGTGGTCCTGTTGGCGTCATCGTGATCTTCAGCTCTCACTGCAGCGGTTCACAGCCGAGTGTGAAGCAGCTGGGATGAGAACGAGCACCTCCAACTCTGAGACCATGGTCCTCAACCGGAAAAGGGTGGATTATTCTCTTCAGGTCCAGGATGAGGTTCTGCCTCCAGTGGAGGAGTTCAAGTATCTCTGGGTTTTGTTCACAGTGAGGGAAGAATGGAGCGAGAGACTGACAGATGGATTGGTGCAGCATCTGCAGTATTGTGGACTCTGTGCCGGTCCATTGTGGTGAAGAGGAGCTGAGCTGTAAGACAAAGCTCTCTGTTTACTGGTCGGTCTACGTTCCTCCCCTCACCTCTGGTCATGAACTCTGGTAGAGACTGAAAGAATGAGATCGTGGTTCCAGGAGGTTGAAATGAGTTTCCTCTGCAGAGCTGGACTCTCCCTCAGATACAGGGGGAGAAGTTCAGGTATCAGGAGAGACTCAGAGGAGAACCTCTGCTCCTCCACATCCAGAGGAGCCAGTTGAGGTGGTTCAGACTTCTGGTAAGGATGCTCCCTGGGCGGGCCCCGCTGTGACCCAGCTTCAGAATAGGGATGCACCAATCCACCTTTTTTTAACTTCCAATCCGATCCCGATACCTAGATCTGAGTATCAACTGATACCGATCCAGTTCGATATCATGATCATCATTGATTTTATATGAGGCTGTAATAATCTGCTCTCAAGTACAATTTGTACACATTTATGCATGCATGTCCAAAAAGACAACCTGAGGTAAGTTTTATTAATGTTGGATAAGTTTTAAAGTTAGAATTAAATTCTGCTAACACAAAACATGTTTCTTTTTATTCCTAGCTTTAAAGTGGATATTAAAGTGAGTAATTTAAGTGATTGATTAAAGTTGTTTTATATTTTTTTAAATAAGGGACAGACATAAGATTTTTCTTCATCCTGCACTCTTTTCATTCAATGTTTTCTTTTTGATGATTTTTTTTTGTTTCATTTAAATGAATGAATAAATGAATTAAATTAAATGTTAAATGTCTTCAAACAGCTGCTAAGTTCATGACATAAACCAACAGACATGTTCCTGTTTTTAGTATTTTACATCACTTTATAATGTAGCTGTTTATGTTTTTAATATATATAATTTTCACATCATATGTTTTTTATGATTGTCTACTGTTGTACTGATAAATATCTCCTGGAGGGTAAACTATATCTTGACTGCAAGTATCAAACTGTGAAATCCTTTGTTTTCTACAACTGATAGTGGTCGGTCATTAATTATGAAGTTTATCAACTTCTCTGTAAACATTAGAGCTCCGTGGTTTCAGCGACGTCTTCTTCTTGTTCAGTCCGAAGCAGGCAGTCTGATCTGGGTCAGCCCCGCTCAGTCTGTCCCTCCTCAGAGACGAGCAGACTGAGGGACAGAGTGGACGCTGCTGGCCGGGGTCGAGTCGCCTCTTTTGGGTTGAGCAAAGAGCAGCGCCCCCTGAAGCCCCGGAGCTCGAATGTCCATCGTAAAACTAACTTTACCGTGGTTTAATGTGGCGCTATGGCTCTGCAGACAGTGCACGTTGCTGTCTTGTTTTGTGGTGTTCAGTGTAAAATACTTCCACACAGTGACATGTTTAGATGAAAAGTTTGTTAGCTGTTAGCCACAGTGCTGCTAACTCAGTCCTCACGTTGTAGCTGCTGCAAACTATGAACTGGATTTCTTGAATGTGGGGCGGGTCTTATTACTCTGGGTTCATGAGAGACGCCGCCGTTCAGGAAATCCATCCCATAGTTTGAAGCCAACATGCATCATGGATCGGAAATATCGGCAGGTGGATCGGAAAAATCCGATACGTAAATTATGCTGGTATAGGAGGCCGATACTGGATCGGATCTGCCCCATCCCTACTTCAGAATAAGCATAAGTGAGTGAGTGAGTGAGTGAGTGAGTGAGTGGGTGGGTGGATGGATGGATGGATGGATGGATGGATGGATGGAAGGAACTGAAGCTGATTTAAGACAACAGTTCTCCACTTTGGTCTTAGCTGTGTTGGGACTAGCCATTAGCTTGTCTGTCTTGTTCCCCTGAAAAGTTTCAAACAGCTATCTACAACAGGTAAGATAGTGATTGTTCACAATTTTTACACCACTTCAAACTAGTGATCTATTATGGTGATAGATGTTCTCAAAAAGATGCAGTTTGGGTGTTAAACCCAAACCTTTGCTTGTTCCAGACTTCATGTATTTAACAAACAATCATCTCAAACAACCAGAAGGAGAAAAAGAAATAACATTATTTATAAGAAGCCTGGATGACTCATGTTTGACAACTGGAGGTCCAGTTAAAAAAAGATGTTTCACTACCAAGAACAAAACCACTGTCACACACCCAACACAAAGTTCAATACACAAGCAAGGAAAAGAAACTATAAATAATAAATACTAGTAATAATGAATAATATATGAAAAACAGGAAATAAGCTGAAAATGAAAGCAACTAAAAATGATCAGGTGTGGAGCTGAGGGAGTCATCCAGCAGGGGGCAGTGAAGCTTCTCACACATCGAGCCAGAACTTCTTCTAATTTCAGCTTAAATATTGGATTTAGTAAAAGCCAGCACCATTCAGAGCTAACACCAAAGCTTTCTATTCAATCTGGTTCTGACGTTTCTCAAATCGCAGTAAAATCTGTGAATGATAAATACTAAAACTTTCACCCGGAGATGTTTTACTGCCGTCATAAATCAACTCAGTGGAAGTTGGTCAATAAATATAAAAAATAAAAGTCTTTCAAAGTTAAATGAAATTTTTTGAGTAAAACCTCTTAACGTAAAAATATGTCAAATATGATTGTATCAATATTCACCTCCTTTACAGTGACTGTCCTAAAATAACCCAGAGATTATTGTAAAGTGCACGAAGATGGATCAACGACCCCAGTTCTGTTCCCGGACCGGGCCGCACCACAAACTGAGCCACCGCGCAACAAGGACAACACTGGGGGGGAACTTTCTATAATAATTGATGAGTTGAACTTGACCACAGTTGGTTCCTGACAGCAGTGAGACAAAACTCCTGGGGTGGACACTTCTGGTCAGGGAACATGATGAACATCATGACGATGAAGATGGGTGAGGTCTTTCTTCAGGGTTACCGGGACTCACGTGATGAAACGTTACTCCTCAGTCTAAAAGTTCCATCTGGACGTTCAAAAAACAAAACGAACACAGAAATGTAGAAACGTTTTTTAGATTTTTCTACCTGGATTACTGAGCATGCATCAGGATTACTTCTTAGTAAAACAATAAAATCCACACAGATTACGATCGTTTACCCAAATGAGTGTGCACGTCTGTTAAGGAGTGTGCACGTTGGTTTAGAAGAAAGGCAAACGGTCCGAAGGTTTTATGAAGCTGACGCTAAGAACGAGTTGAAACATTTCTAAACAGGTGTGTGGTCCAGCCCGCTGCCGTTAGGACCAAGACCAGAACCGTTGAGACCAGAACCGTTGAGACCAGAAGCGTTGAGACCAGAACCGTTGAGACCAGAACCGTTGAGACCAGAAGCGTTGAGACCAGAACCGTTGAGACCAGAACCGTTAAGACCAGAAGCGTTGAGACCAGAACCGTTAAGACCAGAAGCGTTGAGACCAGAACCGTTGAGACCAGAAGCGTTAAGACCAGAACCGTTAAGACCAGAACCGTTAAGACCAGAACCGTTAAGACCAGAACCGTTAAGACCAGAACCGTTGAGACCAGAACCGTTAAGACCAGAACCGTTAAGACCAGAACCGTTAAGACCAGAACCG